GCTTCTCCCTCTCCCACTCCCCCTGCTTGTGTTCCCTCTCTTGCTGTGTCTCTCTGTCAAATAAATAAATAAAATCTTAAAAAAAAAAAAAAAAGGACAAATGCACTGGCCAGAGTCCCAGTATCTACATCTAAAACTTCCCCGTTTCTTTTCAGTTTTGAACACATACTATCGGCTCTGTGTGAAGAACTTATACGTAAGTTCACCCAAAAAACAAAAACAGAAAACATCCCCACCCCAGCCGAAGACACCACCACAAGGGAAACACAGAAACCACACAGAACACGCCGGCCCCGGGTCCCTCGCTGCCACCTTCCCTCTGGTTGAAGGCTCGGGACCAGGCGGAACCAAACAGCTCACTGGGTGACTCCCAGCGGTCATGTCAGCAGCAAGAGCTCCTGGAGAAGGTTGCTGGGCACCCCACCCCACCCCTAGTCATGTTACGGGGTTAGCAGGACATTACCCTGCAAACTACTCATCTTACCAAACACAAAGTTCTAAGGGGCAGAGGGGCAGAAAGGGGTGCAAGTGAGAATCACTCCAGCGTAGAACTGGGTTGAAAACACCCACGTGCCCCTGGCAAGGGACAGCGGCTAACTCGGAAGGCTGAGCCCCTGAAGTCTGTGCTAGATGGGGCTACACCGGAAGGGGAGGCGGGAGGCGGGGGCAACTATGCCTTGCTGGGACTCGTGCTTGGCCAGTCTCTCCTTGTAATCAAACCCCACAGCACAGGAGTCCTGCCTCTCGGACTGAACACCAAATCTGCCTCCGAAACCAGGCTTATGATCTGAAAATCCACCAGCAACAGTGGAGAAAACCGAGAGAGGAAACACAGTTTGGTTAGAATCGTTTTAGCAAGTGCAAGCATCAAACACATCGTTTAGAAAGCAGGGCTCTGCGGAGTGCAGGGGCTTGGAGCCGGCTCCCGGGCTCACGAAGAGGCCAAAGTCGGCTCCAAGGTTACAGGACACACTGAAACTCGAAACACTTCAGCCAAGATCTGGAAATAGGTTAGGAACTGCATCTGAAATAATTCAGAAAAAGCACTCCATGCTTTGAGGTTTCCTTCCGGGGTCCTACCCGCGCTGCAGACACGAGAGTGAATCTCTGTGCGTGTGGAGAGAGACACGTTGTACGCAAGTATCACGGGGCCCCGCGGGTCGGCCCCACTTCCCAGGGTGCTGGCTGCAAGGGTGGGTGCGAGGCCGGGGCACATGTGACGGGGCCCCCGCACCCCGCAGCCTAGGTCCCAGGGATGGTGTTCGTTCTGACGAGAACACGCTTCCAAGCGGAGGCAGTGCCCCGAAGCACACTTTATCAATGGGAATGCACACGCGGGCAGAAAGCAGCGTTCCCAGGATGCTCCGGGAGCAAGGCGGGCACGGTGCCCCCTTATCAGCAGCTCCCGGAGGCGGGGGGCTCATTGCTACGCTAGCTGGGGAGCGTTTCAAAAATGTGGCAAGCACAGGACAACCCCAAACGGTGGAGAGAAAAACAACACACGACAGAAATGTAGCAAAAACACAGCCCATTGATGGACCTGTGGACGGAAACAAACTCTGGAATGATCTCGGGAGGAGTAGGCATAATAAATGTACCTTTTTGGGATTCGTGCAGTTGCAATTTCTCCTGGTGATCCCAGCCAAGAGCACATTTGTCTTGTCTGTCTGTCTGTACACCGAATTTTCCTCCAAACCCTTTCACATAGTCTACACGCACAAGAAAAGGCCACAATCTAGTGTTAGTGGGGAGCCCGGGCAGCATGTTCCTAATACAGTGAGACACACATAACCTGCTAAACCCATCTCTCTCTTCCTGCAGGAAGAAGGCCTCCTCGACAATGTCTGGAAAGCAGCCTGATTTATACTCTCGGCACCGTGAGCACAAAGAGGACCCCGCGTACAGAGCTCCAAGGCACGCAGCCTAAAGCAGCCCCCACGAGTCACCACTATCTCCGTGTTTACAACACAGATGTGCGACACATGGCCATTATTACAGGCAACTGCTGGGGTGCCAGGGCCAAAGATGTGTCAGGATATGGTTTCTTCATTTAACAGCTGCACTTATGGATTTGCTATATTTCAAAGTGCGGTATTTAATTAAAGAGGCATCTACTTTAGGGGTTCCTAGGGACACTTTCCCTTTCTGTTCTGGCCAACACTCATCATGCTACCAGCTGCGGGCGAGAGGAGAGGAGAAAGTGGAAGGCACCTTTCTGCGACTCGTGCTTCTCCGTCCTGCCCTGGTACTCGAAGCCCACGGCGCTCTTGTCCACCTTGTCCTTGTCGATGCCATACTTGCCGCCGAAGCCCTTGGAGTAATCTGCAAACAAGGGAAGTACCGTTTATGCAGCAGCAACACAATCGGGGAGCTGCTTTGAGAAAGTACTCTTATCACCCAAATAAAAACAAAACAACACAAACCAAAAATCTTTCAGGCACACTGTAAGATCACGAATATGGGAGACAGTGGGAAGTATTATTTGTATATGTAACAACAGAAATGTGAAGAGCAGCCTGTATAACGGATTTTAACAATTGTCTTATCTTCCCTGCATTCCAAAGGAGATCACGAAATAAGCGTGTTAGATGTTGGCGAGGATGTGGAGAAAGGGGAACCCTCCTACACTGCTGGTGGGAACGCAAGCTGGTGCAACCACTCGGGAAAACATTTCCTCAAAAAGTTGAAAACAGAGCTACCCTATGACCCGCAATTGCACTACTGGGTATTTACCCCAAAGACACAAATGTAGGGATCCGAAGGGACACGTGCACCCCAATGTTTATAGCAGCAATGTCCACAATAGCCAAACTATGAAAAGAGCCCAGATGTCCACCGACAGATGAATGGATGAAGAAGATGTGGTTCATATACACAATGAGATATTACTCAACCATCAAAAAAATGAAATCTTGCCGTTTACAAAGATATGGATGGAACTAGAGGGTATTGCACTAGGTGAAATAAGTCAATCAGAGAAAGACAATGATCATATGATCTCACTCATAAGTGGAATTTAAGAAACAACAGAGAGGGTCCTAGGGGAAGGGAGGGAAAGATAAAACGAAATCAGAGAGGGAGACAAACTCTTCATAAGAGACTCTTCACTCTAGGAAACACACTGAGGGCTGCTGGACTGGACGGGGGTGGGGGGCTGGGGTAACTGGGTGATGGGCATCAAGGAGGGCAGGAGATTCAGTGATGAGCACTGGGTGTGATATGCAACGGATGAGTCACTGAACTCCACCTCTGACATGGTAATATACTGTATGTCAATTAACTGAATTTAAATTTTAAAAAAGAAATAAAAAGGAAAGAAAGACGTGTGTTATGTCTGAGAGCGAGATGAGCCCCGGAGCCGTAGTGGCCAGCTTTCACGAGGTCCCTCTGCCTCACCAACTAAAGCCAGCAGAAAGATACACACGGAGCATCTTCCAGAAACACTACTTCTACCCAAAGCAACGTCACTGAAATACGTATCTTGACACTTAAGCACGGCTCCCCCAGGGCCACTCCCAGAACAGACCCAAGATCAGACCCTCGGGGGGAGGCCTGGGCTGCAGAGGAACCCTGTCTGCCCCACGGGCTCTGCCTTCCGCTCCCCGACTTCCCAGAGGCAGCTTTTATGCTTCTTCACAGGCTCGTAGGAGAGAGGGTCCGGGAGCCCTGAGCAGATCCGAGGGCAGGCCCCCAACTCGCAGGCTGCATGCCGTACCGGGCAGCGGAGGACGGGCTTGCCCCAAGTGGACAGAGGAGGCCGAGTTGAAAGTGACCCTGTGCGGCACACTTCGTGCTGGGGCCGTGGTCTCAGGACAGGCGGGCAGGCCTGGTGTGACAGGAAGAGACGCCCACAGCAAAGCAGAGGCCCGGCCGCCCCGCAGGAAATCCCGAGCCAGCCGTGCCTCCAGTGGGGACTTCTCTTTTTGCCTCTTACGGAAATCTGGGGTTTTAAAGAAGACGTGTGCGCTCTGTTTTTACATATAAAATTTACATGTGCGGGGCGTCTGGCTGGCTCAGTCGGCGGAGCATGTGACTCTTGATCTTGGGGTTGTAAGTTTGAGCCCCATGTTGGGTGTACAGATTACTTTAAAAAAAAAAAAATTAAGTATGCAGGCCACACGAAATAAACAACGCAGAAGAACCAAGCATCCAGGGCCTCCGCGGGAGGGACCGCATCTGTAAACCCTGTATGGAGACACCCCTCCCCGGGCAGGATTCCCAACGACGGAGGGAAAAGTCAGCACGGCAGGTGAGGACAATCTGCAGTAGCCACAGCAATTTTAAACTCAACGTCCCTGGGGCGCCTGAGGGGCTCAGTCATTAGGTGTCTGCCTTCAGCTCGGGTCATGATCCCAGGGTCCTGGGATTGAGCCCCGCGTTGGGCTCCCTGCTCCGCGGGAGGCCTGCTTCTCCCTCTCCCACTCCCCCTGCTTGTGCTCTGTGTCTGTCTCTCTGTCAAATAAATAAATAAAATCTTTTAAATAAATAAATAAATAAAATAAACTCAACGTCCTTTCGACCCTGCAATTCCTTTTCTAGAAATTCACTTTTTTAAATAATCACTTATGTATATGACACACGGGGACAAGAATATTCACTGTAGTCGATTTTTAGCTTCAAAAATCATAAATGACCTAAATTCCACGTTCTAAAAAGGAATGGTTACGTGTCTGCAGCTTCTCCACATGACGGGGACGGAGTGATAGACGTACGACAAAGCCCCGACGCTGACCTGAACAGGACAAGAGCGTCCCCACACGCGCAGTGAAAAAGGCTGCGCAGGGTCCCGTGAGCCGCCTGGCACGGGGGAGAAATTCTCCCGGTACGGATGGATGTCTGTCCACACGGGACAGAGCGGGAGGAAGGCAGGAGCCGCGCTGGCCCGACCTTTCTGCGACTGGTGCTTCTCCGTCCTGCCCTGGTAGTCAAAGCCCACGGCGCTCTTGTCCACCCGGTCGGCCTGCACGCCATACTTGCCGCCGAAACCGCTCGAGTAGTCTGCAGAGACAGGGCAGCAGTCAGTAAAGAAGCCCGGTGACAGGCTCAACTGTCACTTCGGCTCTTTGACCGAGCAAGACAAAAACATGTCGGAGTCAGGACTCATCAAGAGATCGGCACCCAGTTTAAAATGTCCCCCAGGGTCACCCACGAGTGACCAACTCCGTCTCCAGCGCGGTCCCCAGCAACCACGAGAGGGGCGTGTCTTTCTCAACGGCACACATGAGCTGCAGTCCCACTTGGGAAATGAATCATCCGAATAAAGCAAGCTGTGTAGCTCATCCCTTCCCAAAGGGACTGGGAAGGTCCATCGGGGCCAAACGGACAGAGCGCCCGCTCCCGGAGCCATCCGATGACACGCAAGACACAGAAGTAAACCCATGCGCAAAAAAGGCTTTGAGAAAGTGACGTGCTCCCGTTCCCAAAAAAGGCTTTCCAAGACCAGCATGACTTGGAAGGTCAGCCGGCGCCGTCTGAGGACCACACGCACAGCAAAGCATCAGTGAGCTAAGGGCTCCGGTTTCCACTGCTGGGGGACAGTGAGCTTTCCGCCAGCCACACCCAAGACCAGACTCTCCCGGGCCAACGCCGCTCGGAGGGAGAAAAGGCAGCCTCTGCCGCAGGCTGGGAGGCGCCAGGGTGACACGCGACCCAGATGCTTAGGGAGCACGGCCCTGCCCAGGAAACCCCCTCCGGCGACAGTGCTCTCGCCCCCAAGGCGGCGGGGGCACCACCCCCCCGCAAGCACAACACAGCTTACCTCTCTGTGAGGCGTGCTTCTCGGTCTTCCCCTGGTATTCAAAGCCTACAGCAGACTGCAGGTACCACAAAAAGGGAAACACATTTTTAAATACCTCCAAATCTGTTCATCTGAACCCCCAATACATACAACATTTTTAAAAACAAGAACCACGTTATTTTTTGACCTCTGATTTCCTAAGCCAGGTGCAGGTCTAATCAGCGCCCCAAGCCCTGGTGTCTGACGTTTGTGGGACCATGGCCCTGTGGGCTGTGCGGGCCAAGCTGCACAGCAAGTTCCACTCGTGGATTTCCGGCCCACGATGTCAACCTGGGACAACACCCACTGCCACACGTGACCTTGCTTTGCACGTGAGCTCTTCCAAGAGCAACACGGACATCAGGCACGAGAACGGGGGCGGTGGGGGCATCTGCACGCACAGCCCCGGGAGAGAGGCACCATCACCCCGTGGTACAGTTAACACAGAACCACGGCTAATAGGGAGCAAAGCCTGAATGTAGACTGAGCTGCAACTCCAGAGTCCAGGCTCTCAGATGCTATGATAGAAAACAAAGGTGTTGACAGTCCTTGGTCAGAGATTCAGACACCAGGCCTTAGTCCTGGAACTGGGCACGGGGGGGGGGGCCCTCTGCCATATCCGCTCTGAACACTGCCCTGTCACAGAGACGTCCATGCAGCAAGGGTGGCTAGAAATGGTCCCCAGGGACACATTCTCAGGCAAATCTAAGGCTGTCCCCAGTCCATCTGATGAATAGATACCAACACGGAGGATTTCTACAGCAAACAGCAAAAAAGATCCTTACACGTTCCTGTTCTCGATTCTTAGCCCAGCCAGCCAATCATCTCAGAGCCTGGCGGGGGGGCGGGGAGGGGGGTGCTTCTAGGAATCCTGCCATCGGAACGCCCACCCCGCAGTGCCGAGCCAGAGGCACCTCGTGCTACCGTGACCGTCCCGGCGGACTCCCCGATCGCCCGGGTGCTGGTTCCCACGACACTCACTCACCTGGTCAACTCTGTCCACCTGGACACCAAACTTGCCTCCAAAGCCCCGGACGGAGTCCACCTGGGAGCAGTGCTTGGAGAGCTTCGACTGGTACTCATGGCCGACAGCTGACTGCAACAGGGTGCGGAGAGGGGGTGTTAGCTGCCGGCGGCCCGGCCACCCCCGCACAAGGACCATGCGGCACCAGCCCCCCCCAGTCTGGGCTGGGCTCCTCCCTGAAACACACACAGGGTGAACACCGGCGGACGGGCCACCTGCCAGGCGGGGCCTTCGGACGCAATGGGGACAAGGCAAGGACCCCAAGGTCAATTAGGCCCCGAACCCGGCCTGCGACACCCGGCCTGCCCACGGAGACTGCTGGCCCGAGTTACTTGCCGGCTGAAGCGAAGCACGTTCGTACCGCGTGATGCAGGAAAGGGGACCAGAAATACCTTGCTAACGGACAGAGCTGCGGACAGCGTGCTTCCATGACGACACACTTCCGGCCACTAGTCTACCGAGCGAGCACCCTGTGCAGGCGAGGAGCGGGCACCACCGCGTCCCCACACGGCCCTCGGCGAAGGAGGCGAACTCAGCCGCCGCCGTGCAGACCCCATCACCACGGCCTCTGGGCCACACCGGGCACCCAGCTCGTTGTAAAGTCTCTGGAGCACAGCCACACCTGCTCATTTGCATACTGAGGCCACTTCTGAGATTCAGCCACCAAATTCAGGAAACTGCCAGAGACCCCACAGCCCGCAAAGCTGAACACACTTACTACCGAACCCTGAGCAGCCCCCAGCCCTGCCCAGCCTCCCGGCACCCGGCTCCACCCCCAGAGTGGACAGTGACCACGGGTGGCGGGGCCCTGTGACACAGAACGGGGACGGCACATCTGAACCCTCCTTCCAGCTCCAACAGTCACACCGCCCGGGAAGCACCCCTCAAATGCCCGCTGCTTGTCTCTGGAGATCCACAGGACACCCGGGTTCAGGCTGAACTAAAGCAGGGTCAGCCCCACTGCTGACCCTCCGTAGGCAACTCAGGAGTCCGTTCTGTCGTATCCCAGGGGAAGGAGCAGTGGAGTTTTCCTGGAAGCAGAATAACCTTTGGATTCCTGTCTCCTCGCCCCGAGGCTGCTCAACGTCGGGACTGACCGACGAGCTCCGAGACGCACCGGCCACCCGCAGCCTCGAGTCCCCCCAGAAGGCGCTGATAGTGCAACCGCGAGGTGCAGCCTGCCGAAGGGGCCCCCCAGCACCAATCTCAGCAGAAAGAGGGGAAAGAAGTTTTAAGAAAACTTTTCTAAAAATGTAGCCAGAGTGACAGCTTGGCAATTATTCTAAACTGGTTTATCAACACGGATTTACGCCACTGACCAAAGTCATGTCTGTAACTAGAGGTCAGCCCTGGGCAGGGCACCGTCTGGATGCACACTCCAGCTCCGGGGTGTGGCTGGGACCAGGAACGAGGCCTGCCACCTAGGCCGCGGCCAGCTCGACCCTGACTGAAGGGCAGGGGGCCTGAAAGCCTCGCAGACAGGGGCCGGTGGCTGCCTCACCTGCCCAGACCACACACCTCTGGCAAATCCGTGCCTGCCCGGGATGGGTCTTACTCTGAAAGTCTCTACTGCGTTGTCCTCAACTCTTAACACAGAGATCTTAGGGCTTTTTCCAATTTCTGGAGAGAACAGGTTACAAGTAAGAGTTATTTGGTTTGGGAATCTTCATTATTTCTGACAACTGGTCCAATCATGCCCCCAGGAGCTGCAAGCTAGCCTCGCCTAAGTGTGCAGTGAGGCGCGGAGGGAGGAACCACGAGCCACATCAGCATCCCTACCAGGTTCCTCTTTAAGGGGCGCCACCCACTCTATCGGCCCCAGAGGCACGAGGGTGTTTCCCCGAGCCGTCTGGGGACCGCTAACGTATCGGCCAGAGACGTGCCGCATGGGCACTCATAAGACGTCCCTGAACACGTTCACGGTACCCGGCCAGGCACCAGGTGAGGACAGGTCTCAGCCCTGAAGAGCCTCAACGGAAAGGTGGCAACGTGGAGGGGGAGCAGAGGACAACAGGGAGAAGGCACAGGGGAAGGGCCGCTGCGGCCTGGCAGGAGGGGGGACTCCTCAGGGAAGCTTCTCGACTAGAAAGGCCGGTGCTGGGAGGGCAGGAGGGGCAATCCCACCAGTAGCAGAGGCCAGAAGTGAACCCCGTGTCGCTCCTGCCATGGAGCGCTTCCTTGACACTTTATTGTCCCCAATGTGTCATTTTTCCAACCCAGACCTGGGGGCCCAAATTGATAATGCATTTCTAACTGCCCACAATCCCATGCTCACAGGCTTTGTTTGGGGTGGGAAAAGCTTCCACCTACTTGATTCTTTCACTGTCCCAAGCACATGAAGGTGTTGTCTGTTTGCACTGCAAAAAGCTACCAGGCTTTTTTTTAGAATCCAAAGATTATTCTGCTCCCCGCTTTCCCTGTTGAGACATCTCCGGGAATGACAGTCACACCAGGAAACGTCCCTGTGTCTTTCCTGCAGCTCGCACTTTGTCCAACTCCAGCTTAGGCAAATTTCGGACCTGGTTTGGGGCCCACAGGTACACCGTGACCCCACAGTGTCATTCCATGTCAGCTCAGACACTGAATCTGATCCATGCGTGCGGTGGGTGGGGGGCGGGGAGACAGGTCTGGAATTACAGACCAGAACTCGCTATCAGCTGATGGTTTCCCTTCTACGCAGAATCAAGGCAGACATCTGTTGGGTCAGAACAATCTCACAGTGTTCAGACGGGGAAATTCGCGTCTACAGGGACGTCTGAAGAACGTAAAGAACTGCCTCAGTGGCGAAGCCTGGGATACGCTGGCCCCTGCTCTGCCTTCTCCTGCAGGATCAGCCCTCCAGAGCTCCTCTGCTCCGTCTCAGGACAGAGAAGACGCAGAGTGCTGTCAAAGGTTGATGTGTTCAGTCGACAATGCTGACACCGCGTCCCCGGATGCCTACACTCGCCCGGTGATGGCTCAGGGGAGGCTCGCCCACTGTTCTCAGAGGGAGCGTTCTCTCCTGGCCTGTGGGCAGGGACTCCGTGTTACACGGAGCGCCAGACTCCTGCGTGAAGGTCATTCATGCACGAAGGACGTCAGCACACCTGCTGGCCCAACGCTCACCTGTGGCGGGAAACGAGGGAGCCCCCGGATTTGATTCCGGCTGCAGGCTGAGTTGCGCGCAGTAGTCCACACCTGCAGTCAAGATGCCTCTGGGCTTCTGTCCGGGTCACAGGGCGGGCCTCCCAAAGCCCGGAGCAGCCCTGGGCCTCCCTACACGTCACCCACACCCAGGAACCAAGAGAATCCTAAAAGAGCTTCTCAACAGCAGGAGCAGTTTACCAGCCAGGTCAATCAACAGAGGACTACTACTCAGCTCCCAGAAACCGACTCAAAACATTTAATCCAAGGAGGCCGGAGCCCCCGCTCTGCCGACTACGGGCTCCTCGAGGAGCATCACACAGCTGCCATGCCTCACCTTGTCCATCCTGTCCTGTTCCACACCGAACTTCCCTCCATAACCGTGCGAGGCTTTCGGTCCTGTTTCAAGCTCCTTCTCCTTGAGGGTCTGGTGTTCTTGAAAAACATTCTCTCTCAGCTTGTGTATGCTTGAAGGAAAGAGAGAAAATAAAAACAAACTGATAGAAAGGAAGCGCATCCTCACCTCCGAGAAGGACACGCGAGGACAGGGGACGTCATCTTCGCAAACCTGCGATCTTGTGATTCCAGGCCCCCAAATCCCCACCTTCATTGTGCTTTCCTGACTCCTCTGCTTGCTGGCCCACCTGCTCCACCAGCTCTCCAAGAAACCAACCTGGGCACCTAAAGGGAGGCATCCCAAGCCCCCGAGTACCTATCCTGAAACGTGGACTTTTTCTCAAACGCAGAAAAGTTCTCTGTTTCATCAGGTAACAGGACCAGGAGAACCAGTTCTGTGAGCGGCCCCCAACCCAAGGCAGAAGGGGAAACAAAGTCAGCAGTCCCTTACCCCAGACACCCTGAGGACACTGGTCCAAGACAGTGAGACAGAACATTTAGACAGCATCCCTTTACTTGAAATACTCCAGCTTTGTAAATATCCAAAGCTGAAATGAAAGACTTTCAGAATTTATCATCCAAAGCCACTTTTTACTTGAAACGCTGGGGATCGTCAAACAGATCACAGGATGTGGTCAACATCTGGCAGGTCAAGGAGCTGTCACCATCAGGAGACCATGAAGTGGCACACTGCCCCCCCCCCACCAAGCCCCTCAGGAGAAGGAGCAAGAACACGGCTCCTCACCCCTGAAGGACCCCAGGGCACCCAGAACCGTCCCAGGGGCTGCTCTACCAGGAGCTCCTATGAAGGCCAACACGTCTCAAAGCCACGGGAACAGAGAAAACGAGGAGAGAAATGGGTGACTTAACCCATTCGGGAGGCGGCCTAACCCACGACGGTGCCGGCTCCCCTCCAGGCAGGCCCAGGGCCCTCCCTCGACGCCCTCCACGGGCTTCTGCGGTGGGTGTGGGCGCAGCAGGTCAGGGAGGAACGGACACTCGGTCTAAAATGCCCACACTACAGACTTCACCCTCTCTTATGGACGATTTTCCGCCTCTTTCTCAGCCAAGAAAGGCTTCATCTTCCTGAGAGATAGTGGGGCCAAGTAAGACAAATGGTGCAAATGGCCACCACAGGTCACGGGGTCAGGGACGGCCCTTCACGACAGGGAAAGGGCGGATACGTTCTGAAGCCAGCATGGCCTACACTAAAGTCTGAGTGCGTTTTAAAAGTTGCTTTTATCTACACTTCTTGACAAGGAAACACCACCCAGAGAGGTGACAGGTCAAGGCAGGGCCAAGTCGGGAACAAGGCCATGTTCTCCTACAATGGCGACCATCAGTTCTCCTATTTTGGGCTTTTCGCGAGAATACAGTGCCTAGAATCCAGCTCCCAGGACCCAAAGGCCAGTGATAAAGTAGTGAAGTTGTAAGAAAATCACGGGGGGAGGATGTTTCAGGTCTAAGGCATTCAAAGACACGGTGCATGTTAGAGACCGGCCACTTGCAGAGGGAGCGCAGGGGACCGCATCCTGCGAGGAGGCTTCGGCTACTGGAAGAGTGGACTCTGGAATCGTAAATACAATACTCGTCCGCAGCGGGAACTTGAAGTCCCTGCGCATGTGAGCGCACATGCACATGCACTTGCACACACGTGCACAAGTACGTCAGTGTCCTACACTCTTCTCGCACAGCGGATGGAGGGACCGCGTGAGGGACAGAGGCCAGGGCCCCCGCCCCATCTGCTGTCCGCTTTTCAGGGGGCCATTTTCACTCCAACAGGAAGAAAGTCTCTTACTTGATGTGTTCCTGGTGCCCAGAGCCCTGCACGGTTTTCGCCCCCCATCTCTGCTCTTTCTCGCTCACATCGTTCTGAAAAGAAAAAGAAATGATCAGCAGACTTCACACGACCCAGAGGAACAGCAGAGGAAAGCCCCTTTCGGGAGAAGTGCAGCCAAGGTGGGCTGGTGACTCGTACCACGAAGTCAGGGTCGGTCTCCCAGTCGTCGGCGCCCCCGTCGTCCTGGGTGATGGACACGGCATGGCCCGCCGAAGCCTTCCACATCTGAAAAAGCAGTGTGTGGGGTCACGGAGGCGGAGCAGGCGGCTCCCGGCCCCCCAGCCCCCCAACTCCGACCCGGCGCGGGGAGGCGCAGCCACGTCGGCGAGGGAGCGTCCACCAGCCCCGCGCGCGGACCACAACACCCCAAAGGAAGGAAACAGAACACTGCATTTCTAGCACTGTTCTCCAGTGGCATCCGAAACACCGATCGGAAATACTGTTTCAATTCAAATGAGAACACCTCTGGAAAATAAAAAAGTCTCGCGTGCACTTACTTCCTTAAGAATACATCCCTCCTGCACTGAGTCGTGACAACAGCGCTGACCGAACAGGAGAGCACCCCACACCGCGAGCGTAAAGCCTACGTTACCACAGTTAAAAAAGAAAAGTACCCATTTTGATTTCTAGTACTTACTGGACATTTAACAGTGACTTCCTTAACTCAGACTCCGACAAGTGAACAAATGTTTCAAGTGATTAACGAGAGGGTCGCTTCACCATCTACCTGGGGAAGTACCCAGGACGTGGACTGCGACGCTTCCCCGCACCGGGCAGCCCCGAGCGCGGCCTGTCGCCTTTCCGCCCCAGCGGACGGTTTCACCTGGCACAGAGGACGACGGCTTCACAGCTGCCCAGCTCGAGGCTCTTCCTAACCGCAAAGGTAAAATCTAATCTTTAAGAGTTTCAAGAGAAAACGATGTCTGAGAAGAACGGACTCCTTTTCCCCAGAAGTATTAATAAAATTTCACCTAGCCCAGGAAGCACCTGGAAGATTACTTTAACTCGATCAACCGAAAGCTTCTGTGGCTTGAATTCAGACAGGACAGAAGGCCCTCACAAGCCCGAAAACCTCCCATCTAGATCCGCACCACCCCCTCCCCAGCTCTGCTGGGCCTCGAGTCCAAATTCAAGGTGGTAGTGAGGGGTGCCTCACAGCGCTCTCAAGTTCCCAGATGGGACTGCTGTCGCCGTCACCTGAGCAGTCACCTGATCTTGGGTAAGGCAGAATCAACACTGTCCCCAAGGCCACCGCAAACCTTGCTCTGCTCTGTCTGGCTGTCCCAGGCACGGCAAGCATTTCCCAGATGTAATCCGCTTTTGACACGATTTTAGAGAACAAACAGACTAAACCCTCAGCCCTGGGAGGAGCAACCAGATACGCTCCGTCCCCGTGCGCCCACTTACAAATGCAGGGGCAGCTGCCCAAAAGTTGATTCGCCCAGTCTGCCGCTCTCAGTCAAGTGTGCCCCGTACGTCACCACACTAGAAAGGGGCCACCCAACTGTGGGACTTCAGCTGCCCATAGTTCAAGCCACTGAGGACACGGTCACGCAGAAGGGCAGGGTCTCTGGGGAGGACCGTGAGGCTACGTTTCCCCCTCAGGCAAAGGTGAAAGAGGTCTTGCCCGTTGCTTTTGGAGACTCATCCGGAGAACATAGCAGAGTCCATCTCCAGTGGTCCTTCTGGAAGCCAGCCTCCTTCGAGGGCAAGGTGAGCACTAGCACCTGCTTCCTACCATCCTGCCTGGCAGCCCCTCCACCTTCCACAGCAAGATGCCAGACGGCTCCTCCCAGGACAGAGATGTTTCCTGTTCCTCCACTCCAGAGTTTTCTGGAACCCGTTGCTATTTCTAAACCACAGGCAACACTGGAAACTGGACTGACTGACTTACTTAACTTACTTATTTCTAAGTAATCTCTACACCCAACGTGCGGCTCACAAGACCCCAAGATCAAGGGTCACATGCTCTTCTGATGGAGCCAGCCAGGCGTCCCTTGACTTTACTTTTTATTTATTTATTTTTTTAAAGATTTTATTTATTTATTTGAGACAAAGAGAATGAGAGAGAGAGAGAGCACATGAGAGGGGGGAGGGTCAGAGGGAGAAGCAGGCTCCCTGCCGAGCAGGGAGCCCGATGCGGGACTCGATCCAGGGACTCCAGGATCATGACCTGAGCCGAAGGCAGTCGCTTAACCAACTGAGCCACCCAGGCGCCCTGACTTTACTTTTTAAACAACGCAATTTCCTCCCAGAAAAATATTGTCCCTATCTCTGCACACCCAAAGGGAGAACACCCACCCCTTTCCTTGCTCAGGGATCCACCCTGACAGTCCGAGGGGAAAGAAGATTAGACTGCTCACGATGCACAAACCTTTCTTTCTGGCTGAAGATGAAAGGCTGCTCACGAATCTCTGTGGAAAGCCCAGTGATCCAGTGAGGAATTTCCAGGCATTTGGGAGTGGATTCTGTCTGCAAAAAGATGAAGAGTAGAAAGCTCAGACGGATGTCTACTGACAGGCAGTCTGGGCAAATCCCTGTACGCACAGGTCCTTTCAGGAAACTCTGACATCCTCCCACGGTTCACGAGGCTTTGTAAAGAAATCTGAAAGGAGGATGGCAAGATTTGCATCTTACTAACCTAAAAGCTCAATCGATTTTCAGACACATTGAGAAAATACAGAAAAGAGCAAGTTTCAAAAGGCTTATAGCTGTATAAAGTTTTTTCTTCGTGCAAACAGAAATTACTGCTGCAATCACTAGCAGACATCTTCTGTTGGCTATCATCCTGACGCGTCTCCGTTCTTTGCTCATTCTAAATTATGACTTTGCTAAAAATAATAAAATTCTATTACTGTGAGTTTAAAAAAATAACATAAGGAAAACTCTGAAGGGATCACGATGTGGCTGGGAGACAAAAGCCGCACAGTGACGGCTACTTGGATGAGAAGCGGGGTGACGCGGGGAGCAGCGCAGAACAGGCAGTGCTTCTAATGAGCGGATATGGTTACAGCACAGAGATCAAGACTCCACTTCCCTGGGCCACCAACGCACCACCTTCTCCCGAGGACGAGACAACAACTTCCATCGGCACTGTACTGCTAAACATTACAGAGCGGAGGAATCCGGTCCCCTCGCTCCCTAGGAACAAGCCAGTCACAAGCACGAGCCGCTTGCATCAGCCTGCAGCCTTGTCACACATTAGGAACTGGAGGGATGGTGCTTTGCTAGCCTTCCCTACACTCAGTTTCCTACTGAGTTCCTGACCCAACTATTCACTCCTTCTCTCTCCTCAGTCCCCTCTGGAAACCCTAACTTCTGTAGGCTGCTTAGTATATGCTAGGGACTGAGGTTATTACTGTAATCAGCAAGCATCTATAAAAATCTACCCAAGGGCAGCTAGTGAGAGCCTCAGATCTACAACAATTTATTACCCCCTCAAATTTTTAAATTAAAAAAAAAAATCACAAAGATAACTGAAAATGTAAAAGCTTGGGTATGTTTTTGGACCCAAGGATAATGCCTTTGGCTCCCTACCTCACAACATATACAAAAATTAACCCCAAAGCAGGTCAAAGATCTCAAATCTAAGCTTAAACTATTAAACTCTCACAAGAAAACATAAGCACAGATTTTCATCACCTTCAATGTGGCAACAGCTCTTAGATGTGACACCAAAAGCACAAGCACGAAGAGGAAATAACAGATAAACTGGACAAAATCTGAAACATTGTGCTTCAAGACACCGGCAAGAGACTCGGGACAATTCCCAGAATGAGAGAAACAATGTTTTCAGATCATATACCCAAAATAAAGAAAGAACTCTGACAACTCAACAATAAACAGGACAATTAACCACCAGACAATTAACCACATTGTAAAACCAAGTGGAAAGGATCTGAAGAGACATTTCCCCAAAGATGAATAAATGGCTACTAAGCTCACAAAAAGATACTAGGTATCATTAACCATGAAGGGAATGCAAATCAAAACCATAAGTGAGCTACCACAACACTCATTCTAGGATGGCTAAAATAAAAAATCAGACAATAACAAGTTTGAGGACGGTGTGGAGAAACTAGAACCGCCTCACAGGGCTGGTGTGAAGTAAAATGAGTAACAGTGTGGCAGGTCGTCAAAAAGTTAAACACAGTTACCACGTGGCCCAGCGATCCCCACCCACAGAGACAGACCCAAGAGAAAGGAAAATTTATGTCTGCACAAAACCTCACGCAGGAACGCTCCCAGCAGTATTATTCATTATGGCCAGAAAGCAGAAACAACGCAGATGCCCACGTGAGGCAGCAGGTACATGTGATCCCTTCACGCAGAGGACTGTTATTTGGCAACACCCAGGAGGGAAGGCCTGCTGGACGCCACAGCAGGAATGACTCCCGAAAACACACTAAGGGAAAGAAGCCAGACACCAAACCCCAGGTATCATATAGTCCCATTTACATGAAATGTCCAGAATTGGCAAATCTAGGGAGACAAAAAGTAGATTTGTGGTTACCTAGTATTGGAAGGAGGTAACAGGGATCCTTTTTGAGGTGATAAAATTATTCTCAAATGGACTGTGATGATGATTGCACAACTGTGTGAATATACGACAAAATGACTGAACTGTACCCTTTATTTTTATTTTAAAGATTTTTTTTTAAATTTATTTATTAGAGAGAGAGAGTGAGAGAGAGAGCGCAAGAGGGGGTAGGGTTAGAGGGAGAAGCAGACTCCCCGCCGAGCAGGGAGCCCGATGTGGGACTCGATCCCGGGACTCCGGGATCATGACTTGAGCCGAAGGCAGTGGCTTAACCAACTGAGCCACGCAGGCACCCGAATTGTACCCTTTAAATGGGTGAATTATACGGTATGTGAATTGCATCTCAAATAAAATGTTAACAGAAAACACCCCTCACCATTAACAGACCTTCCTTGCAAACGTCACACGTACTCACTCATCAAGACCGCACAGTGTGACGTCACTGGACGCTGCCATATAAACCGAGTGGAAAACTCTACAGGACAAGGTTCTAGATGATGGGACAGAATTAGCTTCCCATTAAGGTCATAATCGCCAGGGCAGCAGAGAAGCAGAGAGAACAAGGCCCAGAGGAGCCAAAACAGCTGCCCGGAGACCCACTCCTCCATGCCGCACTTCCGCTGAGAAAAGCCCCCTGGCGCCTGGGCATGCTTCCCCTGGGTCTGCTCAGAGCACCAGCCTGCACACCTGCAAACCTGAAAGACGAGGCCAGTGCTGGAGGCCATGTCCGGTGGGGGCCCGGGGAACACACCAGGCAGTCCGGGTGCTCCCAATGACTCAGGCCCTCGACCACACCCTTTCCGAGCACCTACCTGGGCTGCCCCGCACCCAACAAAGATGAATCACCAATCAGAACCACTTAGAAGTGCTTTAAAGATAAGCCCATCAAAATGATCCACCCAAAAGTCAGAGGTAGGCACTGGGAGACAAAGTATCAAAAACAACCGGGCACCCCCTCCCTCTTTATTCTTATTCTGGAGAACCGGAAAGTGGCCTTTAGGGCTCTTCCTGCTCCTCGGGGATATGGGAGTGCTTTTCTGAGAGAGACAGGGCTGCCTCCACGCACTGGGGCAGTGACTCACCCCACGGTCAGAGAAGGGCAGGGACAGCAGGGGCCTGCCCAACGCACAGCCCTTCCCAGCCCTGGGCCCGCTGGGCCGGACCAGGCGGCCAGAACCCAGGGGGTTAACCCCCGACAGAGCACAGCGGGGCCAAGTCGACGCAACCCAAATGGGGCGCTGGCGGGGCGGTCCCAGGGAGGGGAGCGCCCACTCGGGATGCCTCCAGAGCTGCGGTCAGCGGAAAATGGGATTCCTCCCCCAGAGGCCCCACTCGTCCACAGATTCCAGTCCGAGGAAGCCCTGTCCCCTCTTCTCCCAACCCTCCAGTAGGGCGATCGAGCTTCCCTAATATTCAAGAGATGGAAACACAACAAACAGCCCAAAAGAACCTTTCTGGTGACTTCCAACACACCCAGAGGAGGGACTGCTCCAAATTTAGAGCCTCTCAACTAGCCGCAGTTGCGCGTGTCGCTGCATTCCAACTGACCTGATTGCAGAAGCTCCCGGTAGGTGCGGGCACCGGAAAACCCCGGCCCTTCCCCGGCCCCTCCCCGCCCGACCCCAGCCCTTCCCCGGCCCCGCGGCCCCTAGGACACCGGCGGATCCCGCCAGGCGTAGACTCCCGGCCCCTCCCCGCCCGACCCTGACCCTTCCCCGACCCCAGGCCTCTCCCTGCCAGACCCCGGCCCCTCGGACCCCGGCC